TCATTATGCTTTGCAACAATAAGGTTGTGAAGGTCTTGAGAGAGCTCTTTACTTTTACCCATCATCAGATGGTCCCTGTGCCATTCCACATTATTACAAATAACTTCATTTCTGGACATTTATGGTTTGATTTCTTTGTATGTATGGATCACTTGGGTTGTTACCGACATCTGGTGAAAATTTCATGTCATTAGCACCTCTAGTAATATATTTACTGAGAAACATGGTGACGTGTTCAATAATTATTTTACCCGCTGCATATTATCCAACCTCTTCTCCTGTAGCCTTATTCAATCACTTCTTAGTGATCAAGAAAATTATTCTTAGTTTCTTGAAAAACTAATGTGTCCAAAAACACTTTCTGTCAATTCCTTTTTAGTTTAAAACTTTTGAAACTTGAGACAGTTATTTACAAGTTCGCCATTAATGTTTATAATTTTACCAATGCACCAAGTTAAAATTAGTTTCTATTTGCAGAATTAGTTCCTTTGAGAATGTCTTCTATATCTAAGTAAATGTGTTACTGGATGATATGCCTAACTAATATAGAAATCAATCAAACTGAATCCTGAATCGTCCTGAATCGTTGTGAATTGAAATGAATTGATTTGGGAAATTTGAATCGATACTAAGCCCTAGTGTTCAAGCATTTAAACATTTACTGGGCTGAGTGTTCTCAGCTCAGGAGCACGGTGGGAAATGAGACGGTCCACATGGAGCTAACAGAAACAGCCAGGAACACCTGTACCTCAGTTCCGACGGTCGGCTGGGTGCCAGAGAACACCGACTCCGGCGGGGGTCCTCCGTACTTCCTCTGTCCCGTCGTTACGTCCAGCGTGTATTTGGTTCTGTCCAGGAGCTCTTTGATTTTGGTCTCGTCGGGCCCTTTAGTGGAAGCCGTGACTTTGCTGCCCTGCTTCTCTCTCTGCCTGTAGGTCTTCATCACCCCGCAGAGGAAGGCACTTTTGTTCTGGAGCGACAAAGACCGTCAGAAACACGGAGGTAACAAGAACAACCCCGCACTGTGACAGGAGGAGACTTGCCTGGACGTGAGACAGATCGCTCTCTTTGAACTGGACCAGAACCTGCAGAGCTCCATCTTCATTAAACTCTTTCAGAGCTTCAAGAGCTCGTTCATCCAGGTCGCTGTGTGCTACCAGACCTGAGCAAAGAACAAGATACATTGTTAGACTGCCTGACAGCTGCCGGTCCAATCAGTACGTCTGTTTCATGTTTCAGGACGTGCTGCACGTCAACCCAACCCCCGGAGCAGCTCCGAGACAAATAATCGACACAACTGATCACTCTCACCGGCTACAAACAGCTCGTCTAGTTTTTCGGCTACTTTCTGGGACAGACCGTCATCTAACAGAGTCTGGAAGTGTTCTGATCGGGCCATTGCTGATTTCGAGTCCATGGACTCCTCTGTGCCGTTCCCGTTCACGTGATCTGTGGTCTTGTTGTCTTCAGACATCTGCAGAGACACGAGGCCAGGTTTACAAACTGAACATTCACTTTTCTACACTCAAACCCTGGTTTCTGTTGTTATTAGTTTGGAACAGATTATATAAGAATAAACAATGGAGAAACTGACAACTTGTCACAACAAAGCAGGTGGCTCTCTCACCTGGAGCTGAGTGCACACGTCTATAGATTTACAATCGACTCAAAAACAGCAACAACTTCAAGCTGTTGTTCTCTTCTCAAAGATGGGCTCTGGGCCCCTTTGTGGGTCACCAAACACTACGTGACCTCCAATCAAAATTTGTCATATTTTCACCAGACTTGTTGATATTAGCAACATCCATAACAGGGGTAGACATAACCTTTGTTTAGGTTGTCCGAGACAACCTATTTTGATTTCGGACAACCAGATCCAGTCTCCTGGTTGTCCGGTGGACAACCAAGAATAAAAGACCTTGATTAAAGTTCTCTGCCGTGGGTGTTCGTCATTGTAAAACTGAAAGGGAGAAAAAAAACTTGGTAAAGCCGAACAGAACACTAAACTGTAACTTTTAATAAGGTCATGCACACAGGATACTCCTATTTAAGTGAAAATGTTTGACCTATGAGCAGAAAGAAGTTTATGAATGTTGGGTAACCTCTAGATTTTACTAGCAACATTTTTGCTGCTTTACTCCCTGAGCCTTAAATACTCTATATCAAAGAGAATGAGAAGTTTTATTCAAGCAGATCCTGACAAACTGGCTGACTGAGAACAATTATATATAATAAACTTTGTCTACAGAACAGTTTACTTGTTAAATTACATTTTTTCTTGAAATGTTTACGGACAACCAGGTTTTGTCAACAGGTTGTCCACTGGACAACCTGAAAAATATCCTTATGTCTACCCCTGAATAAAACAAAAGGAGTGCAACAATCCATGTACCTGAACTGAATAGTTCAATACACACTATTTATGTAACAATACACACTATTTATGGAACAATACACACTATTTATGTAACAATACACACTATGTATGGACACTATGTATAGGGATGTTGACATTTTGTCAGCAGCTGCTGCCATTTTCTTCCCAAACTGCTGTGACCAGATTTTGCAAGGCTGCTCGGTGCGTTTGCTTGTAATTTCCTCCTGCTTCGTTATTTCTACGAATTTCAACAAAACGGGCTGCCATCAGGTAGTTAGCTTCAGCCTCGTCTTTGAGTTTTTAATTTTTGTTGATGAGTTTTGAAGAGACAATTTTTTGAAAAGAGGATCAAAGTAAATCACCCAAGTTTTTCTGGTGAACCTTAAAGAGATAAGCTGCCATGAAGAACATTATTTTATCTGCCCTTCTTCCAAATTTGATAATTATTTGAAACGTCGAAGTATGTTTTTTTTAATCCGGAACAGCGCTTGTTGCAAAGTGTTTTGACGCTCGTCTTCGTCACTTGACACATTTAACACGCTGTCATTGGTTGATGAGCTTTGTTTACAAAACAGATGTCCACATGGTTTTTAAATTGTTTTAATTTCCTTACTTTCTAAGACACATTAAGT